AAAAAAAAAAAAAAAAAAACCCAGGGTTGGGGGGGCATTGCGGGAAAGAAACCTAGTAGTATCAAAAAATATCAAAAAAGAGTATCAACAATTTTTTTTTTTTTTTAATGGAGTCTCACACTCTGTTGCCCAGGCTGGAGTGCAATGGCACGGTCTTGGCTCACTGCAACCTACAACTCTCAGGTTAAAGCAATTCTCCTGCCTCAGCCTCCCAAGCAGCTGGGATTACAGGCGTGTGCTAGCACACGCAGCTAACTTTTGTATTTTTAGTAGAGAGAGACAGGGTTTCACCATGTTGGCCAGGCTGGTCTCAAACTCTGGCCCTTAGGTGATCTGCCTGCCTCAGCCTCCTAAAGTGCTGGGATTACAGATGTGAGCCACCACACCAAGCTCAACAATTATTTTTAAAAACTATCTTCCCTTTTCCAACTTCTTATACTTCCAATGAAACATCTTAACTTCACAGACTGAATGCAAAAACAGCTATGAAAATCCAGTTGACTTCTATTAAGTCAGGAACTTAAACAGTGCAAAAATAATAGCAAAAATGCTATTCTTCCCATTATATATTTTTTATTTCAAATAATTATTTTCATCATAAAATGTCATTTATGTTAATGTGATGAATTTTCTAAACAAATATTAATTTTATATTTCTCAAGTTTTTCAGGTGAAATTATATACATATATATATATATATATATTTTTTTTTTTTTTTTTTTGAGACTTTAGTAGATGGGGTTTCACCATGTTGGCCAGGATGGTCTTGATCTCTTGACCTCGTGATCCTCCCTGCTCAGTCACCCAAAGTGCTGGGATTACAAGCGTGAGCCACCACACCTGGCCAATACATTCATTTTTTAAATGTGAAAAATAACATCTTAACATTATTTACGTAAAAATATAGTAAACAGCAATAGATAAAAACTCACATAAAATTCTGTGGAGTCCTCAATAATTTTTAAGAGTATAAAGAGATTGTGAGACCAAATACTTGAGAACTGCTGATTTAAAGAAAATATACATCCATGCAAGTGACTACTATGCAACTACTAAAAAGTCTGAAAACGAAAAGGTTAAACAAAAAAAGTTTAATTGTGTGGTGAAGTTTTCCTAAAACTAATATGAAACGCAGAAGCTACCAAGGAAAAGCAGTATTTGCCTATATGAAAACTAAAGATCTCTTCAAAACAAAACAAAACAAAAACACCACATAATTCCACAATGTTAGAAGAAAAATGATTTAGACAACTTGTTTCTGACTTAATATTCCTCCAGCTTCCCTTCCTTGGGTGAGCCAGGACTCTAATATAAAATGCTTGGAAATAAACTTAAAAAGTTTATCCATAACTTCTCAGCTTGAAAGTAGGGGGAAAAAAGCTAATCCAAAAGAAAAAAATAGAAGAACTGAACAATCTGTCCTTAGATAAAGGCCACAACTCATCAATATAATATGAAAATATTTTAAAACTTCAATTTTAAAATGCAAATTGAAAATACTGAAATTGTCTTCCCAAATGAGACTGGGACTGATCTGATTGGCAACAACTTAAAAGACTGATTGCAGCAGCTGGCAAGGATATAGAAACCAGGAACTCTCAAACGATGAAGTCTAAGCCAATAAAACAGAATAATGTGGCAGTTTCTACGCAAAAGTTGTTAAAGGGTAATCTCTGTTATAGGAAATCTGAAATTCACACAAGTGCACAAGTATATAAGGATATAAATTATAGCACTGTGTGTAAACAAAAAAATCTATACAGCCATTAATGTAAGCCTAATAAAATACATGGCTGTATATTAATATAATACAAGACAATGGTTTAAAACAATGAGGTAAAATCTGCACATACAAACAGAAAAGTCAATTGTATGGACATTTATATTAAAAAGTATAGATATGTTCATTTAATACTTCTGGAAGAATATAAACCAAATTTAACTCTGGATAGTGGAGAAAAGTAAAATGCAAGAAGTAAATAATGAGAAAACTGCCAAAATTTGAGCCATAAAGCAAGGTATTTTTCCAAAGGATATTTGCTATTTTACATAAAAAGTAGAATTTGCAGAGAAACTGAAGTTCCCAGAGACTTCATTTTAGGATTTAAACTTTTTTTTTTTTTTTTTTAAACTGATGAGGACACTTAGGAATCCCTTCCTAAATTTCATTCAAGCTGTGAGGGATATACACCTTGTTTACTTCTCCAATAAAAGTGGCATCAAGAACTGGGCTCACAGACAGCTGGAAGATATAAAAGTTTGTTTTATATCACTAAAAAGATGGGAAAAAAAGTAAGGGTTTTGGTGCTACTATTAGGTTAAACTATATAAAACTGCCACTAATGAATTCTTCAACCTAACACATGTGGTACATTGCTTTCCTGAGGATTTTATCCTTTACAGACTGCCTTCTAATGTCCCCACTAGCTGACAATCTCCACTGTCTAAAAAACTGATTTGTTCCTCACTGGAGGATATGCTGAACCAATGGGTCTCCTATGAGAAAACTACAAATAGTATATTTGAACTATTTATTTCAGTAGGTCTTCCATGATGCATAAAGGAAACATTTTTTAAAAATTAAGATCATAAAAATTTTTTTAATAAAAGAAACTATATAATAAATAGACTTGTGGACTCTTTTAAGTACAGAGTGAATGGTCTGCCCTAACAAAAAGTAAATAGAAAGAAAAAAAGGCAAAGGAAAGGAATTGAAATACTTTAAAAACCTCAGAAGTTAATTCCAATTTACTTTCCTCTAGATTGGTACAATGCTTCCAAGCTGCCATTTTCTTCCCGCCATCAGTATTCAGTGAACTCAAGTTAATTCTCATTATATAACCCAGAAAATAAGTAAAAACAACCCTACTGGGAAGGAGTGGGAAGAGTTGGGAAAAGCCATATAATGAACTAATACTCAATTTCCTACTACACTGTTAACTATGAAACTTAACTAATTTTAATCTTTCCCTTTTTCCTCTCCTTGTCTCTTTCTCAGTTATAAACCAATCAGCCTTCAAACTCCACATTCCCTGGCTCTCATTTCTCATTCTCAGTCTAACTTCAAGTTAACTTTTCTTATTCTATACATCTGTGTATCTCCTACTCACTCATCAAACTAATCTTTTTCCATGTTTTATGTAACTATTCTATGGAACTTATACTCTATTAAAAAAAACTTTTTCCTAAGTCAGTAGGGACTTTTTTTTAAAGTGTTCAATCCAATGGGTATTTTGACACCTTGCTTTATTCGGCCTTTTTAGGGTGCTGTTAACCACCCTATCCTTAGTGCTAACTAACCACCTTCTTGGTTTCCATGCCCACCACTGTCTTCTTTTTTTTTGAGACAGAGTTTTACTCTTATTGCCCAGGTTGGAGTGCAGTGGCATGATCTCAACTCACTGCAACCTCCACCTCCTGGGTTCAAGCAATTATCTCGTCTCAGCCTCCCAAGTAGCTGGGATACAAGCCCCCGGCACCATGCCCAGCTAATTTTTGTATTTTTAGTAGAGAAGATATTTCACCATGTTAGCCAAGCTCGTCTCAAACTCTCGACCCTCAGGTGATCCGCCTGCCTTGGCCTCCCAAAGTGCTGGGATTACAGGTGTGAGCCATCATATCCGGTGACCACCACTGTCTTAGTTTGCATGTCCATACTTCATAGGCATTCTTCTTCAACAAAAGCCCCCTGTATGATGCTGGTATCCCAGGTCTTTGTCCTGAGTCAAGTTCACCTCTCCTTAAAGGAACTTATTTAATAATGTGGCTTCTATTACGACCAATATACTGAAGAATTTCAAACTAATCTCTCACCTAGTTCATTTTGAGCTCAAGACTCACACATAAAACTGTCTGCTAGTCATGGATCATCCAAGTGAAAAATAGAACCCTCAACCTTAGCATATCTAAAACTAGCCTCAGAATCTAACTTTCCCTTCAAACTTGCCCTATTCACCACTTACCTGTGGCCTAACTCAGAAAACCTAGGTGTCAGAAAGCTTACCTGTTCTGCAGAGGATGTTTAATATAGTGTTCTGGATTTGCGACCTCCTGATTAGATTCTGGTTTTTCCTCTTCTGTAGCTGGGGGATTAGGAGTAGGAGTGGTTTCCTAGTAGAAAATATAAAACATTATTTTAAATTTCTTAACACATCTATGACAGCAATATTCTAATTAAACCTGAACTGACATGCTGACAATATTTTTTAAGAAGTAATTAGAGCAGATTGCTTCATAAAACAGACCATAGACCAACCTCTAAAGAAACATTCTCTATTCTTGTATCTCTTCATTAAGAGGAAAGGATTTCTCAAACTGGAAAATATAATAGTATCTATGGTTATCCTTCCACTTGTACTTTTTTTTTAACAGCAGGAAGACTGTCACAGATTATGCAACAAAGTTAGGAAAATCTGCTACCTTTCTTAACATACCATCTCATTAAGAAACTGTATATGGTATTGAAGGGGATATCAGGATGGATAGACGATTAAAACTAAAGTTTCAAGAGTATAATAACTATATCACTGGGCACTGTGGCGCATGCCTATAATCCCAGCTACTCAGGAGACTGAAATAGGAGGATTGCTTGAGCCCAGAAGTTTGATACCAGCCTGGGCAACACAGCAAGACCCTGTTTCAAAAACAAACAAACAAAACAAAACTATATTATGATGACAAAATAAGCTTTGTAAAGTGATCAAGCCAATGATATGCTGGTCTTGCCTTCATGGCATACTGTTTACCCTATGGTAACCTAAAAGTTCAGCAACTTAACATTTTCAAGGGACTCTAAGATGATGGACATTGGTTTGAACTTAAATCTTCTTTTAGGCTACGCATAATTAACACTGTCATCTATCAGGAAGAAAAGGAAAATAGTAATTTAAAATAGGTGTTCACGACATTCTTCCATGTAGCTTTTCACACTACAATAAATTGTTGTCACCAGAACAAGACAGCCATAGAAAGGCATTAGGACGAAGACTAATACAAAAAAAAGGGGGGCAATGCAACAAATGTCTGGATATCAGATTTACTGAAGCAGCAAACAAAAGTTAGAGATATATGTTAACATAACAAGATATGTAGTCAAATATTTATTATCCAAAAGACCTCAGAGTAGATAGGTAAATTCTCTTAAATTTACTCATAAACTCAAAATCCTCACTATAAACCATACTTTTGCAACACTTATTTAAACCTTTTTCCTCAGCAGCACATAGTGAATTACAATATGATTAATTACAAGTTTCATGGAGTCCAAAACATCATTTTAAAACTAATTTAGTTCTTTCTCTTTTCTATTATTCCATTCTTTTCATTCTTGGGAAAATGATGGAATACTAACATGGTATCAAATCTTTGGACATACAGAAACTAAAAGTAAATAATCACTCAGGAAAAACATATTCAGTTCCTAGAATTTTAAAAGTGTTATTTTGAATTAAAATTCTCACTTTAAGTAATTGATACTATAGTCTTCATATTAAGAACACATTATTTTGTACTTTTCCAACAACTTTAAAAAGCTACACATTTTTAAATGTGTGTATGTACAAATCAATAAGTATACTAATTTAAAATCTCTAATCTTCACTTATATAGATAGATTATGAAACAAATGATCTATAACACCATAAAAATTTTTAATAGCCACAGTCATCTTTTCATATCATCTATTTGGGAACTAAAAAATATTTCAAGGAACAAATTCTATTTTAAGATGTATAACCTTATTTTTAAGGTTGCTTCCTATAGACACTTAAAAAGTTTTAAGTTTACATTCAGTTTAATAACAAAATTCGGCTGGGAGGTGGCTCACACCTGTAATCCCAGTACTTTCGGAGGTCCAGTACTCTTGCTCATGCCTGTAATCCCAGTACTTTGGGAGGCCGAGGTGGGTGGGTGACTTGAGGTTAGGAGATCAAGACCAGACTGGCGAACCTGCTGAAACCCCATCTCTACTAAAAATAAAAACATTAGCCAGGCATGGTGGCAGGCAACTGTAATCCCAGCTACTAGGGAGGCTGAGGCAGAAGAATCGCTTGAACCCGGGAGGCAAAGGTTGCATGCAGTGAGCCAAGATCAAGCCATTGCACTCCAGCCTGGGGAACAAGAGCAAGACTTACACCTCAAAAATAAAATAAAATAAAATAAAATAAAATAAAATAAAATAAAATAAAATAAACATACTTCAAAATCCTACCATATTTCCCTCTCTGCTCTCTCAGGCTGGTGTTCCCTCAATGAGAAAATTTCACTGGAAATTACATCCTAAATTATCAACCTCAGGTTCTATTGGGGAATTTAAAATTAAAAAAAAAAAGGAAAAAAAATTAAATGACCAATATTTCTAGGTTTATAAACTACCTGGACAAAAAAGTAAAGGCTAATTTAGCAGATTATGGCTAACTCAGAGTAATCAAACACATTTTTAAACTAAAATAGACAATCTTCCCTTGAAAAAGCACTGTGTAACATACTTTAGGTGAGAACAGGGTATAAGAGTGAGGCCATGGATGGTGCTATGTTCATCCAGATAGTAACCAGTGTGGCTGAAAGAGAAAGTTTATGCAAGGGAAGAGCTAGAATGGTAGGTTGGAGTGAGATTGGTAAAGGCCTCAGAGGTCAGGCTAAAAGTGTACCTTTCACCTTAGGGGGGATCAAAGAGATTAAATCCAAATGGCAAGAGAACAAAAGATCAATTTAAGAGCAAAGTATTAAACCTGGTTTTAGATTTGCTGAGTTTATCAACTTCAAATAAAAATGTTCAGTATTAAAATTTAGCAAACCCAGGGCTGAATAAACTGTCATAGCAACAAAAGAAAGTTGAAAGGGAAGAAAAAAAGACAAGCAAGGGCGAGAAAACTCGTAACAATTGGCTGCCAAGAATGTCAGGTAGCTTTTTACTACATTCTGCAAAATTAGCACAGGTATAATATTAATCTTATGGGACAATCCTAATATTATAGAGGCAAATATTTCCCAGGTCTAGCATCATTCTGTGGTGTCTTCAATAAATCTGACTACATTTTAGATTCTCCTCACCATGTTCAAATCCACATTGCTTAAATTCCAAAACCGTGATGTGCTTTTCCACGGTTTTGAACATTTAAGATTTCTCAGCAACTCTCAACCCAAATACACATAAGAACTATCTATTTAGTCGCAGGAATTTCCAAAAAATTTTTTCCAGGTTAAGACAAATCACCTGACACCTTATTTGAAGTATATAATAATCATTAGTCCCCCTGGGAATTAATAATGGTTTGAACTAGTAACTCAAAGTATAGTCCACAGATAATCCACAGACTACTACTGCTGGTCCACAAACTGGTCATGGTTGACAGTGAGGTTAAGTATAGACATGCAAAGTAAAATGTGTAGCAATTTGACAATTTTATATCTGCTGAAACTAATCAAATTCAGGCTTACATTTTGTATGCATGTCTTCATGTTTATCATTTTACAAAAGTATTATATTAGAAATTTTTTTAAAAGGCCACGCATGGTGGCTTATCCCTGTAATCCCAACACCTTCGGAGGCCAAAGCAGGAGGATCTCTTGAGCCCAGGAGGCCAAAACAGGAAAATCACTTGAGCCCAGAAGTTCAAAGGCTGTAGTGAGCTATGATAGCACCACTGCACTCCAGCCTGGGCAACACAGTAAGACGCTGTCTCTAAAAAATTAAATTAAAATTAAAAAACAAACACAAACCAGTTTGTCACCAGAATATGAGATGCAATAATTCAAATCACACCCTCTAGAACCATGTTACCCATGTTGGAATCCCAGCTCTGCTATTCACAGTTGTAAAATTCAGAGCAAGTAACTTCCATGGCCTCAATTTCCTCATCTTAAAATGGGCACTGTGACATTTATCTCCAAGGATAACTAGGGATTAAATGAATTAAAAAATAAAAGCATTTAAAGTGTCTGGTACATGGGAAATACAAAATAAGAATTGATTTTTTAAAAGTAGCTAAAAATTTTAACTGTATGGTTACCTGGCTTTCCATTCATTCATTCACAGCAAACTGTATGGCCAGACACTATGATGAATTGTTATATGATTTTAGAAAGAAATTTTTTAAAATTATATTTATCACTTTCTTCTTTCCTACATTCTTTCTGATATATGTAGATATAGATATTCCTCCCAGAACAATAATGATTTATGACAATATAAAGTCATTTTAAAGTAACATTCAAGTGAGGAATCCTACTTTTCTTACTTTAAAGGTACTCCCAGATACCGTATTTCCCCTTTTCTGTACTGAAGGCATCATATCCTTGCCTCATTCCCCATACTCTTGGCCTCAGTGAATTAATGAATGGCTACAATGTACCACTGAGCTGAACTATTTATTACCAAGCAACAGCATTAAGGACATTGAAATCAAGTATCAAAATAAGGCACAAAAAAGGGGCTAGAGGAAGAAAGAAATTCTACATCAGCACATTTATTCACATACCATCTTTTGTGCTTCCAAATAATGCTGCAACTGACAGTCTGTATATACCAGGCTGGGACTTCACTACTACAGTTTTTCTCTGATAATAGAAAGAGCAATCCCAGGTTTACCAATCTCTGATGCACTAGGAGGCAATACTACAAAATGGGTAAAAGCCAAAGCTCAACAACACAGCCTGGATTCACCTCTAATCCCTGTTTGATGAGTCCTGTAAGTCTGTATGATAGGAGAAAATTTTCAGAGAATAGGGATTGTTTAAGTGATCCTTAGGGTAAGTCCTTAAAACCCCTGTAAGGAGCAGTTTCTTCACTTGTAAAAGTGCTGTGTGGGTTTTCAGCAACAATCCAAGAATTTGGCACTTAAGTGATCAATAACTGTCAGCTACCATTAGCAATCAGTACTTGAGATGATTTTAATTTAAAAGTTTAGGCTGGGTGTGGTGGCTCATGCCTGTAATCCAAGCACTTTGGAGGCTAAGGCGGGCGGATCACCTGAGGTCGGGAGTTCAAGACCAGCCTGACCAACATGGTGAAACCCCGTCTTTAAAAAAAAAAAAAAAAAAAATTTATTAAAAAAAAGAAAAAGTTTACTAAGAGCTGAGTAAATGTAGCATACTGAACCAGACTTCAAACT